GGACACTTCCCACTGGGTGTGCAATGGCAGACTCCTCTCAGACCTCAGAAGACTGCAGTGACAATAATAAAAAATTCCTTTACATTCCTTTAATTTAACAACATGTTTAAGAATGTATTAATTGTTTTAAAGGAGAACTATGAGATGAGTGATTTCCACTCACCTCATAGTTCTAAGCCGACCTGTGACAATGAGACTGTCACAGGTCAGCTCAGTAGATCGGGAGGTGAGGGAACACATACTGGGTTCCCTCACCTCTCGATCCTGTCACGGCTCTCTGCCGTGACAGGGGGAGGTGCTGGATTCCCCTCTCCGATCTGCCAGCGCTGACTGGCGGAACGGACGGGGAGGGGGCGGGTACAGCTGGCTCTGCCTCTAGATAGGCAGAGCCAGCTGTCACTCACGCAGCTGGGCGGATCCCGTCATCTACGTCGGGATCCGCTCCAGGTGCGGCGTCTCAGTATACCGCGAGCTGTAGCTCACGGTATACTGAGCTTAGGGTAACGGGAGGACGCTAGTTTGTGTCCTCCCGTTACCCTAAGGAGAACTTTGGGGAAAAACACTGACCCCATAGTTCTCCTTTAATAATAATAATTAGGCTAGATAAATGTGTAAATCTGTCAAATTCAGACCATTGTACTGAAAGTGCGTACATAAGAAATATAAATGTTTTTTCCCAGTCTCTGCAAAAATCATTGTAGGTGTTTTCCAGTAATTGTGGGTAGAATAGCTGGAATTAGTCTGAGTGTAGGAGTGCCAGATCCAGAGAGAAATGTTGAACTAATGTTTTAAATATGTTAGGGAAAACAGATATGCTACAGCAATTTATATGACATGTACAAGTCCATGGCTTCTTCCTGAAGATCATATAGTTAGCAAACTCAGGCTTATAGTTTTTACTGACACCTTGGTATTAATAACAAGCAGAGGGAATAATGAATGAATACCTAATGAACCAAAAATGCTGCAGATTTCTGCTGCAATGATAGCCTAGATATATCATAAGGAAGATGTAAGATGATTCTCTGTTTTCATTTGGAAATATTAATAGGTTTGGTGACAATTGTTTATTAATACAGTAATGTACTCCGTTACTAACTTCCTTTATTGGGCTGACAACACTGGCACTGCCGCAGTGAAATTTAGCGCAGTGTTATTGGCCCTCGCTAAGTTCTTTCCAGCTGGGCTATGTAAACACATTCCCTTTTCTTCATCTCTAGAATTCTCAGCACTCGTTCTGCTCTTCAGTTAATGTTTCTTTTGCATCCGTTTAATGAAAAGAAATACTTGAACATTCCTGCAGTATTGGCAAGTTTTTCATAGGTAGAAATCAGGTTTTCATATGTGTCGTAATTTATCAAGACAACATCAGGTCTGTAGATTAGACTATAAATAAAGAATAGACATGTCTAAATATCTTTTCAGGAAATGTATTTCCTTTCTTTTGAAACATGAAAAACAATCTGGAAATGCATCCATTGAAAAATGTGTATATATTTTATGAGGACTCTGTGGGTAACCACTCTTCAGCCCTAGCCGGGCTTATTTCCTGTTTGATAGATGTATCCAAGTGGAACTAGTTTACCATGTCTTTGATAGATTCTTTGAAGTGGAACTATTTTAGCAGATGTGCCAGCTATCCTAAGCTGCAAATATTCATTATTTGTTAAGAAAAAAAAAACTTTTTTTATGTGCTGGCAAGTGAAGCTACTATACTGGATTTTGCAGTTCCGGGTGTGTAGTTGTTTCAACATTAAGCCCTGCTGGACTAGCAGAGCTATTTTAGGGGCGATATGAATTCTGTATTGGGACGCCTGCACATGAACTTTAATGGCATCCCAGTCCTAATCCATGGGGTTCAAAACTGAGTTGGCCCACCCTTTCCAGCTATAACAGCTTCAACTCTTCTGGGAAGCTTGTCCACAAGCTTTAGGAGTGTGTCTATGGGAATGTTTGACCATTCTTCCAGAAGCGCATTTGTGAGGTCAGGTACTGATGTTGGAGGAGAAGGCCGGGCTCGCAGTCTCCGCTCTAATTCATCCCAAAGGTGTTCTGTCAGGTTGAGGTCAGGACAGGCCAGTCCAGTCAAGTTCCTCCACCCAAAACTCGCTCATCCATGTCACTTTCTTTGTGCACTGGTGCACAGTCATGTTGGAACAGGAAGGGGCCATCCCCAAACTGTTCCCACAAAGTTGGGGGCATGAATTTGTCCAAAATGTTTTGGTACGCTGATGCCTTAAGAGTTCCCTTCACTGGAACTAAGGGGCCAAGCCCAACCCCTGAAAAGCAACCCCACACCATAATCCCCCCTCCACCAAACTTTACACTTGACACAATGCAGTCAGGCAAGTACCGTTCTCCCGCAACCGCCAAACCCAGACACTTCCATCGGATTGCCAAACAGAGAAGCGTGATTAGTCACTCCACAGAACACGTCTCCACTTCTCTAGAGTCCAGTGGTGGCGTGCTTTACACCACTGCATCTGACGCTTTGCATTGCACTTGGCGATGTAAGGCTTGGATGCAGCTGCTCGGCCATGGAAACCCATTGCATGAAGCTCTCTACGCACTGTTGTTGTGCCAATCTGAAGGCCACACGAAGTTTGGAGGTCTGTAGCTATTGACTCTGCAGACAGTTGGCGACTTCTGCGCACTGTGCACTTCAAGCATGCGCTGACCCCGCTCTGTAATTTTAGTGGCCTACCACTTCATGGCTGAGTTGCTGTTTTTCCCAGTTGCTTCCACTTTGTTATAATACCACTAACAGATGACGGTGGGATATTTAGCAGCAAGGAAATTTCACGGATGGCCTTATTGTACAGTTGGCAACCTATCACGGTACCACGCTTGAATTCACTGAGCTCCTGAGAGTGACACATTCTTTCACAAATGTTTGTAGAAGCGTCTGCATGATTTTATACACCTGTGGCCATGGAGGTGATTGGAACACCTGAATCCAATGATTTGGAGGGGTGTCCCAATACTTTTGGCATATACACACAGTATATAATCATCACACAGATCAGCCATAACATGACCACCCTACTAAAACAGATGATTATCCGTGCTATAGTGCTCTCCCCGGACTCCTCAATAACACTCTATTGGCAGCTGCAGAGATAAAGAGAAGCTATATAAACTTCTTCTATAAACCTCTAAGTGCATATACTTTTTGACAATTCATATATACAAAATGTTCATTCCAACTTACAGTATACTGTATATAGTTCATATAGAAATAATCCCAAGATTGATGTGACCCAAAATAAACGTGATGAAATCCTTGTGTTCACTTTCTTTATATAACATCAGTGAATGAAATAATTATTGCATATAAAGTTCCACAATCTCTTGTGACTCCAGGTGTGCAAACACTAGCACAATCACCAGATAATTTTGACCACCCAGTTGCTTCAGAATCGTTCTTGCTTATTACTTGCAAAGGCAACAGTCTCCACAGTTCTTGTTCACATTAACAGATCTTAATTGGATATTATTTTATGTGACCACTCTTGGATTGTGGTTCTTCACATTATCTGTATCTGTTTAGTACTTGCTTGCAGGGCAATGGCATTGATAGATTACTGTAAATGGCTGCCTCCATCTTTCAATTCTGCAAGTGATTCTAATTTACTATCGCTGTTTTCTACCTGGTCTAAAACCGCGTTTGACCTAAAACAGCGACGATTCTGCGACCGAGCTCAGTGATGTGCGAACTTGGTACTCTATTGACTGTGGTACGGATCAGGCAGTGCCCCCAGAATTCCTATTTACTGGACCATTTTTTAAAATTATATTATAATTTCTTATTACCGTATTTATAATTTTTTAATTTCGTGTTTCAAACTTTATCATACCCGGGATGTCTACTGGACTCTTGTTTGGACAGATTTAGGTGAGTTATTCCTAAGATTTACTAAGAATTACGGGCCTGCAATATAAAACAACAGATTTCCATGAAAAACAATGTACCGCTTTGGCATGCTAAAATCCTGAATAATCAGATCGCCAGGGAGGTTAATGTGTAGGGGTTTAGTAAATAAAAACACTTTTAATAAATAGTAAATAACTTAAGTTTTCTGTTAACTATTCCATTCAAATTATATTACTAGTTCTTTAATTTCTAATGATGTGACAAACCAGTAATTAATAGCATTGTGGACTAAAAATTTACCAGAAAGGCACAGATAGAATATGTAATCCTGTTGCTGTTAAATATGTGGAGAATTGTTTGTGGTCTTCCTGTTTCACTTATTTACATAAGCACCTATAATTATATCTATAGATGTTCCAGTCATCTTCAGTCTCATGTATATGTTTGTTTGGCAATCCCACAAAAGGCTGATACTCTCTCTGTGCCTCACTGTGGCAGAAACATATGTTAATAAATGATTGTAAAATCAAAAGTGTTGCAGAACATGTCAGAAAGTTGTCATGCATACTCACATAAAGATTATGGGGTCTATTTGTAAACATTTTGCAGAGCCATTCACCCTGCAAATCTTTGAATGCTTGCTCTCTGCTAATGAATACACAAAATTAATGTTCTCAGTTTATTATCTTTATAAGTCCAATGTAATTTCAAATGTCATATATACCACATTATGGCCACTAGATGGAGCTGAAGGGCATAGAAAATAAATACTTCTTTCCTGTACTTCTCAGCTCTATTTTGTGGCCATAATACAGTATTTTACATATAGTACATTCAAATTGGAAAGAAAATGTACTAGGAACATTCGTTATGTGCTCCATTCATACAGAACAAATGTTCATGGAAGTTTGCAGGGATAATGGCCGTGCTTATTGCTTATGAATACACCCCTATGTGAAAATAGGCATTGAACCAATTAGATTAGTCTGAACAGTCGCTATAAATAAAACCCACTGGAGTCACCGGTGATCATTTTTGCAGAGGCCAGTATGCTTTTTAGAACGCCATCAAATTGCAAATAACTGCGAGATGAAAAGGTAATGAGATGTTGTTTTTTTAAAATCAGATTTCAATATGTCAGGAGCTTCCAAGCATTGAAGTTATGACTTTGAGGTGAGTTATTTTCTCTTTAAATAAAAAAATATATATACGTAAAATGGAATGATATGATATCTTTTATGCTATACTTTATTATGTCTTTTTCTTTTTTCTATGTCGTAAGAAACTTTAGTGGTCCTTAGTATATGTATAAGCAGTAAGAGTTATTAGATATTTCTCCTTTTAGGCCAAGCCAATTATCCCTTGTTCCTGAGTAAACCAGCCAGGTATCTGCTTATAGAATGGCATAGCCTCTTCTGTAATAAGGAAACACTGATTTATAGACACCCATATACTAATTAGATGGTTAGTGGTGTATACTGTGGTTCTTTACCTTGCATCTAAATGTAATGTAGAGAATGCGTGCTTTGTTGATGTGTACGATCATAGTTGGATTTCCAGTACTCTTCCCAGCAGCATAAGAGTTAGAAGCAGATTTGGAATTTTTCATTTTACTAAGAATGGTAAATATTCCAGACTAATGGATTTTGCAGAAAAATAGAATACTGCCTTCAGCATTTGTTGTGGTTTTGATTTGCCTTTTGAACTGAAGAATTTTGAACAATGAATTAGATCTTAATACAGCCTTTTTGAAGTTTCAAAACGAAGACTTTGCCAAGAACATGCATCAAACAATGCATGCTTAGTTACTCTCTTCAGTGTGCTGGATAAGCCCTCTGATGTCAACTGTTACTAAAACCTGGACTTCTCTGATTTGTTTGCAAAGCTCTACCTATAGAACTAAGCCTTGCATCCCATGAGATTTGGAAGAGAGGCATGTCTGCCCACTCTTAAGGTGCCCATACATCTGCCGATTATCGTACGATTGCGGGATCACCCGCGATTATCGTACGATAATCGGTGGGTCTGTGGGCACCTTAAGAGTGGGCAGACATGCCTCTCTTCCAAATCTCATGGGATGCAAGGCTGTTTTAAAATCTAATCGGCAGGTGTATGGAAGGCGTGCGACCGTTCCTACTGTACGGTTGCACGTCTTCTGTCTTCTGAGCACGCATGAAAACTTAGTGGCGCGCTCGGAAGACAAATGCGGAACGGGCCGGTGTGCGCAAGCGCACACTGCCGGCTCAGCATTGCAGTCATCGGAGCCCTCCCCTCAGCAGGGCGGGCTTGCGATGATGGCAAGTACGATCTGCCTGTCCAAGATGGCCAGATCGTACAAGATTTTTGTTAACTTCCAACCATCACACGATGAAAGTCGTGCGATGGTTGTAAGGTGTATGGCCAGCTTTAATGAGCTATTAAGGTGCTCTTATTGGTCATGAGCATGTTAGGTGGGTGAGACTTTGTTCAGGGGAGATGGATATATTTACCCATATCTTGTGCTTCCTGTCAGGGAAGTTTTGGTTTGAAAGCTTTATGACTTATACAGTATATCTATGCTAAGGTAGAGGTTCATGAAATTTTGAAGCTCAAATTCTAGATCTAAAACTTGACAGAATTGCAAATATTAGCGGTCCACTGGCAGCCATCACAAGGCAAGAGAATATAGTTCTAGTTCTTTTTAAGAGTAGAGGTTCCCAAAGCCATGTTTTTTTATTTTGCCTAAGAATTTTTAGTACACTTAATGAAACCCAGAAAGAATTGTAGTTCTTATGATTTACAGTTAACACTTTGTATATACAAAGTCCCTTTCACATTTTTTTAATGTTTTTGTTATTCATAGCATATATCATCATTTTTCCATCTACCTGTAGTGACTTACTGTTGTCCTAAAACATAGCAAGGAATTATCATTTTATTATATAAACATTGCGTGTATTTGATCATTTTTGTGGTTGTAGCTCTTATTTGGAGCCAAGGACTGTTTCCCAGGGCCATCTGTTGGGTGATTATTTGAATCTTTCCAGCAGCAAAATTGAAAGTTGGACATGTTTACAATCATCACAGGAAATAGCTGGTGTAAATCATTGACAAGAGTGCCTTATGCACATTCAGTGTTAATATTCATGGAACTCATATAATTGGTGGCAATGGCTGAAAAGCATAACTAAAGGTTCTAAAATCAATTTCTAAAGTTGACAGGTATTCCTCGGCTAGACAGTAAAAATAAAAAAAACAATGCAATCTGTCTTGCTGCAATGCTTTGTTTTCTGTTGTGCAATAGAAACCTAAAAGTTCAAATGCTTGATGTATTGCTTTTTCCAGTGTAAATAGAATTTCCATCCTTGAACCGATAAGCCACTGTCAAAATCTGACTGAGTTGTACTTGAGAAAGAATAATATTTCCAACTTGGGTGAACTTTACTACCTGAAGCTGCTACCCAGACTGAGAATACTGTGGTTATCAGAGAACCCTTGCTGTAGCTCTGATCCTTGCAGATACAGAATGACAGTACTGAGAAACCTGCCCAACCTTCAGAAGCTCGACAATCAAGGTAATGTGTGTCCAAATGTTATCTATATTCTCTTTAAGCTTTATATCACTAAGGGCCTGTTCACATGATATCAGGTCCGGATCAGGTGCGGATCTGCAGACGCGGTGCTACTGATGCAGTGCATTTTGTCCGCGTTTTTGATGCGTTCCAGTAAAAAAAAATTATTTTATTTTTTTGCTGGAGTGGGGCTGTCAGTATGTTAGCTGCAGTGCGTTTTTGACGCGTTTTGCGTTTCCGGTCCGTTTCCTGACCGGACAAAATGTGACATGCAGTATTTTTTCTGTCGTAACCTGAACCGACTGCGCACGTGAGAACTGTAGCCCATAAAACACATAGGGATACATTGGGATACATTTTTAGTGCAGGAGCGTACGGATCAGGTCAGCACAGAAAACGGACGTCGTGTGAACAGGCCCTTAGGGCTTGTTCACACCAAGTGTGGAGCAGATGCAGAGCAGTTACAGAACGCATCAAAAATGCATCCAATGTATTCCAATTGTATTTTGGGCTCTAGTTCACACCCCAGCGTTCAGTTCCAGAGCATGTGGAAAAACTGCGGCATGCCCTATTTTTTCTGCTCCTGGAACGCACCAAAAAGCAGGCAAACGCATCAGAAACATGCAAACGCCCTGGAACGCATTGAAAGCCTATTTTAGGCTAAAACAAACATGGCAAAATGCACTGCATATGCAGAAACTCATGCAGATCTGGTGCGGATTTGGTGTGAACAAGCCCTAAAGCTACATCTTCTATGTGTTTTGAAGAGCTTTTCCCAGCTACACCAATGGCAATGCACAAACTAAAACTAGCATAAAAAATAAATAAACTAAAGGAATTCTGAAGATGCCATAATTTATAGAACATCAGCAAACAGTATTTCCTCTTGAGGCACTTGGTTAAGCTGAATACATGATAGGGCAGATGAACATTGGTGAGTTTAAAGATGAACTCCAGGTAAAATAAAAATGGAACTTTACAGTGGGGCTTCCCCCACTGCAAGGGTTAAATACTTTGTTTTTGCTGTATCTGGGGGAAACAACAAAAGCAGTTTTACCTACCTTTTCCCTTGCTCACCGGCAGTGAGCACTCTTCTGAGTTGTGGGTGGGTCCTTGGTGTCCTCACTGCTGGTCTGGGATTGTACATGATGAAGTCGGAGTGCCTGCGACTGATGGAGCAGTGAAGAGAAGCGACTTTAGGGGACCGCTCCTGTAAGAGTACCTGCTTTACTGCTGGTTCTGTTCCCCCACTAGTAGGATCAATTTTTTATTTTTACCAGAGTTGAACTTTAAAAAAATATTATTTTTAATATCCAACATTTGTTATGTTCTAATGTAATACACTAATTAAAGGTACATTTTGGTCAAAATTAAGAATAAAATGCATGCAGGGTCCTGCTCGGTACTTTCATCCAGTTATTGCTGATGTTCTAAAAAAAAACTTGTCAAGCAGTAAAACTTTTGCGGAACACATCTACTACAGGCTTATTGTTGTCTTTCAACGTCTGATATAAACCTATGTAGCAAAAGTTTGCCCAGGAGTGATCATGTGATGTACACATCACACACACTTTTTGTTTTTATATTTACCATTTGCAGCCAGCAGGAAAGGAGCAGCTGGTGGTGGTTTTAGTCTGCTAGTGGCCAGTCAGCAGTATTCAAGAGCTGCTAAAGATTAATGGCTGGCAAGAATCGATTGGTAGTAGTCAGTGGAGGCTGAGGTTAGTCAGGCGTAGGTGAGTGTCAGCTGGTGATGGTCAAGGGTGGGTGCAGAGCCCTCCCATTAATGAGGCAGCCTGCGGCGCTTGCATCAGATGACATCTAATTGGGGTGCGGCCGGGTAGTGGGGAGTGAGGGGGGCGGCCAGAGCGTCCCAGGTTGCTAAGAGCTTTTAGCAACCTCTAAAGCTACTGAAAAGAGAAATAAGGTATGTAGAGAATACAAAGCTGGCAATTATTTAGAAGTATGTGTTTTGTAGATTGTCATTACTAAACATTTCTTTCACAAATTTTTTATTAATTTTCAAAATACACAAAACCGGCAGGATTCATGAGTGCCAACCGACACAGCGGCGGCTCCTTTTTCATAAGTAAAGTACGTGATACACAATACGTAGTCAATAAACTCAGGTAGGAATTGTACAGTACAGCATATAGCTAGATTTAAGGTTCACCACGGCTTAGACTTCCCTGCTCCACCAAGACTCATGGTATCAGTTGCAAACCAGCAACCTAAAAAACAGTGGTGGAAACTCCGGGTATAGAAAATCAACAATCGTGTTTCATCCTTCCCCCGGTACAGGTGACCTAAGTCCCCAAAACCCGGGTATATTCAAAGTCCTAAAACGTCTATGACAACGTGAGGGAAACAATAAGGAGAAAGTAAGAGCAAGCAGGAAAGGAAACCGCGTAGTAAAGGAGAGACGAAAGGCATTAAAGCCAAGGAGAGAAAGAAAAGAAAAAGGGGGGAGAATAAATAAAAAGGGAAAAGAAGGGTCAGACAAGGGACTCATCTGAGGAAAACAAAATATTCCCCATATACCCACTGTGAGGTAGGGCTAAGAGGACACTAATGCTGGGTCAAAATATTGGCCCAGGGCAGAGGGGGACACGGTCAGCAGGCCGCCAAAGAGGGGGAGGAGGCCGGTGGCGGCGGTGAAGGAAGCCGGGTCCGGTGGCAGCGGGAGTGAAGGAGGCCGTGAAAAGGTGGTGGAGGCCAGACCTGACTGCATGGAGGAGCAGGAGGCCTGGCAGCAGTGGAGAGGGCTGGGGCCCAGCAGTGGGCGGCTGACAGGTACCAACCCACCTGAGACCCCGCAGAGCTCCCCATAGAGGGTTTCAGATGGGCTATCCAGGGTCTCTGGTATGTGTGGGGTCTCAGGTGGGCTCTGTGGGGTCGCGCTCTGTTGGGCTGTGCAGATTCTTAGGTGGGTCTCAAGTCGGGGTCTGTGCAGGGTCTCTGGTGGGCTCTGCAGGATCTCAAGTGGGTGCTGCGGGGTCTTTGGTGGGCTTTGCAGGGTCATTGGTATGTGCAAGGTCTCAGGTGGGCTGTGTGGGGTCTCTGGTATGTGCAGGATCTCAGGTGGGCTGTATGGGGTCTCTGGTGGGCTGTACTGGGGACCCCCTTTTTTTTCTATCTTCAAGGACAGGCTTCTATGCCAAAATCAGATGTTTCACCCTCAGTTGAAGAAATTTTAAGCCTAGAAGCATGGATCCTGAGCAGAGCATTCTCTTAGCAAAGGGGTTATTGTAGAAGGTTGTGAACACCTTTTTTAAAAGTAGGAAAAAAGTTACCTCTAAACAAAAAAAACTGCAAGGTTTAATGAACCTGGACCTTGCTGGTCAGGGCAATGTGGTGTACAATACCCACTGTACTAGAGTTTCTTCAGAACAGGGCAAATAAAAGTATTTCTCGTGATACGTTAAAGGTACAACCCGTAGCCTTGTCCATTTACCTGGACCAGTCTTTAGCATCTCTCCCACTCATTAGGAAAATCTTCAAGGGCTTGTCGTAAACCTGTTGATGCCATATCCCATCCACTCCACCCTGGTACCTAACCCTAGTTCTGCAGCTCTTACTATTTGTGTCTCACTGGAGCAAATGCACAGCATTTTTGCACATTTATGGGACTCTTACCTTGCCATAATGTGCATAAATGATAGGCTTTGCTACAGTTATGTCAAAAGACCTACAATATATACAGTAGTGTCTTCTACCATAAATAACTCCCTGCTATTAAGTTTAGTCCCACTTTAGGGCCGTTTCACACCACAAAGTCTGCGTTCCAGAGCGTACGGTCTCTGGAGCGCAAGCAGGCCGGCTACCTGCGTTTGCCTACAGTGTGATCGCCTACACCCGGAGCGCAGGCACATTAGTGCTTGCAGCATTTTTGCAGATCGCACTGGACCGGTACGCAGGCGGGGGGCGTGGCTGCTGTGCCATTGACTTGAATGCACCAACACGCCCCTGAACGCAGGGAGCCGGCCGGCTTGCATTCCAGAGGGCGAACGCTCTGGAACGCAGACTTTGTGGTGTGAACCGGCCCTTAAAACAGACAATTGTAAATGCAGCTTAGCCTCCCTGGCTGTATTCCCAAGTGTAGCTCGGGGTTACTTTTCCATACCATAAGCGGTAACCCCGAGCTACACTCGGGAAAGCCGCATAGCATTTACTTACCTTGTCGTTCGAGCCGCGCTGTGTTCTGAGGCCGATGCCGGCTTCCGGGTTCTGTCGCTTGCAAGCGTACACGTCGCAGGGGGGCGGAACCGGTGGGGATATTTAAAAAAAAAAACCCAACAAAGATGAAAAAATTTCGAAAAAAAAAATAGACCGAAAAATAACATGAAAAAAAGTAAAAATCATACCGCCAGGAAGGTTAAGTGAATTACAGTAAGGTGTAGCATGCAAACTGCACAGAAGGCATATTCTGTCTCCTCACTGTCATGTGGGTAATTATTGTAGCTTTATTTATTTGTTTATTGTAGATTGTAGCTTTATTTTTTGTTATATGCTGAACACTCATGAGAACTATTTTCACTAAGGCTCAGTTGCATCATGTGCCCTATTGATATATGCAAATAAAATTCCATGTTACTTGGTGTGACAAGAATTTAAATCATATGTATTACATTTCAGTCTAGTATATTTTTTGTGGCATGGTAGGTAGTAATCTGTTTTATTCAGTTGACAGTGTCATTCCCCAGTGTGTGTATGCCTCCTTTCTGATTTCTGTGCCGCAAATGTGCAATTTCATGTAATGAAGTAATTTGTGCAAACACATTTTTATGTATAGAGTCAGGTGTTAAATAGCTGGCTGGATTTCAGGCACTAGGGATTATGGAAAATTGCATGACTTGATATGTTTATTCTGTTTCTTTGGCTGTCTACAGGTGGCAGCAGTTTATAATAATTATATATATTTATCTTCCGTATTTTAGTTGTTGGTTGAGACTTTAGGAGAAAAAAAACTTTACTTTCAAGATCACACTATGCTAAAAGTTCAG